CTGCAAGCTTGAGAGGATTCTAAACACACCCTTACTGTTCTGAGATGTAGGGGACACACATACAGGGACAGGCCGAGGCCCCAAGCAGATAAGGACATCTCCACTGACAGCCAGCACAGAACCCACCCCACAACTGCAAGGAAATACATTTTGCCAACAATCTAAATAAGCTCAGAGGCAGATTCTACCAGAGTCTCCAGAAAGGAGGGCAGCTTTGCCAACCCCTTGATTTTAGTGCCGTAACACCGATTTCAAGCTTCTAACATTAAGAGCTGTGAAGTATAAATGGGTGTTGTTTCAAGCTGTTAAATCTGTGGCAGCTGGTTATGGCAGCAATAGAGATGTACACACCCTCTTAAGCTCACCTGGGTCTCTCCCAGCCCTTCAGAAATGTACGGTGGAGAGTCTGACCAGGTAGCTCATGCCAATTTACTAATGGATGAAGGCTAGAGGGAGAGGATTTTTGTTTTTAACACCAGCACTTTGGAGATGCTTTATTCCATCTGACTCTAAGATGTCCACAAGAGCAGCAGGAATTTCAAACCTGGGAAGTGGAGAGACCAGTCTCCAGGCCTCCTCCTGGTAAGGGAATAATTTGGGGCCAAGCAAAGCCTTCAACGGCACCCTTCCACTGACACAGCCCACACGAGGGGCTGCTCACCTCTCCAGACAAGCTATTCTTTAAGACTCCCCTGCCCCTCACTTATAAAATATGATGTACGTTCATTATTTTTTAAAAAATCAGATGAATTTGAAAAATAAAAGTGCCCTTGCTCAGAGTTCAACTTTTCCAGACAGTTTTCATATATATATACATTTTTTTCTTTCCTTTAAATAGAATCATTCTGTAACATTATTCTGTAACTTGTTTTTCATTAATATATCTTTGAACATTTTCTTCTGTCATATGTAGAGAGTTGACCCACAATACCACATTTAGAACTCACTTCTCATTGAGTCATTTACATTTCTGTATTTTTGAGTGAGGTGTAGCATCTTTTTGTATGTGTGTTAGACATTTATAATTCTTTTCATGTTCTATTCATGTCCGTTACCAAGTTTTCTATCAAGTTTGTTTTCCTTGATTTATTCACATTATTTTTATGGCAAGGAAAGAAGTCTTTGATCTGATGTGCTACAAATATTTTTCCCCTGTGGTTATCTCCTGATTCTTCCAGTAGTATTGTTTGCTATCATAAATTTAAAATATATACATAGTTAAATAGATCAATATTTTTCTTTTAGGCTTTGGTTTGTTTCATGGTGGTAACTGCTTTCCCTACTCCAAGATTATTTTTTAAATTCACTCATATTTTGTCTCTTTCACTGCAGTATTTTATTCATCTGAAATTTTTTTTAATATAAAAGGGAAAAGGAATTCAGATTTACAATTTTTCCCTAGTGGGTAGAAATTTTCTTAATATTTATTGAATATACCATCTTTTCCTCTCTGATATGAAATGTTATCTTTATCATATAATAAATTCACCAACTAAATGTATTATATTATTGACCTTTCTGCTTTGGTGTTATCACAAATGATTTTAGCTATGTACCTTTAAAATACTTTTTAATATTTTATTAATTTTAGACATCCTCTAGCTTTCTTAACATGTTAATTTTTTCAGATGAACATTTTTATCAACTTCCAAAAACTTTTTCTTAATATTTTTATTTTCTGCATTTTGATATACTCAGATAAGTTACTATGTTATGAAGACTTGATTTTTACTTACCCAGATAGATGCCATGATATCCCACCTTTGCCTTGAGTTGAGATCACACTAACCTATTCAAAGAAAAAAAATTACTAAACAATATAAATCTGGGATTTGGAACACAATAATCTCAGACTAACCCTTTATCTTTAATCAAGAAAATGGAAGTTAGCATTCAAAGAGAAGCTATCTCAGGAAGAGGATGTGCCTCTAACATCAAGTACCCCATTTGCTAAATAAACATTACTGAGCACCTACTATATACAAGGGATTGTTGTAGGCCTGAGAAGGGCTCAAAATAGGACAGAAAAAGAAAATCTCTGTACTTGAGGGTTTTACAAGTATGTTTCTAATATCTGACTAATTTAAAAACCAGCAGAAGCATGTTGATTGCTGACTTCTTTTAACGGAGACAGACTACCATCACCAGGAACACCGGCACAGGAAATGGTCTGCTTCCCCCACCCAACACAAAGTTTAGCCAGCTTCAGTTTGATTCCTTGTATTGGACTGTGCAATCTCCTTTTACACTTTACAAGGCTCCCAGCCTGCAGCCTGTTACAGACAGACATATCTATGAGGAAGCAGTCTAGTCTTTGGGACAGACATACTCTATGAGGAAGCAGTCTAGTCTTTGGTAGGGCCCAGAGGCAAAAAGGGTAATTCTTTGATGGAGCCCTCACTGGGAACCCAGGCACACTTCCCATACGTAGACATTATTCAAACATGCTAGCATACCTCCAGGCTTGATTTAGAAATGAAAGTTGCTCCCACCCATCCTGGGAACAAAATATTCTAAAAATTCAGTGATAGCCCCAGAGCAAAGTTCAACAGGAAATGACACTATTTGTCCCTGGAAATATTTAAGCCTGATTTTCTCAGGCTCTCCTAGCTTCTAACACTGTATCTCTTTTTTCTAGTTATAGGATTAACACTACATCCCTCTCTATATATAGTGAATACAACTGATCGTTAGTTCTGGTTTTGCCCCTTAAAGCTGGACACAGTTTCTTTGCGCCTCAGTTGCCTCGTCTGTAAAAAGGGGAGAGGAGTGCATTGCTGGCATTGAGTGAAATATGTATAATAACATCAGTTAGTGTTTTGAGTTCTTAGTATGTGCCAGGTAATACAAGATGCACTAGAAAGTCATTTCCACAAGGCCAGAGATTTTTGTCATTTGTTCAAAGGAGCATAGAAGGTACTAAAAAAAATACTGATGAATGAATGAATGAATGATTTAAAATAAGATTCACAATAATCTAGGGAGCTAGGTATCATTAATAACAGCCTCACTATGCACATGAGGAAGCTGGCACACAGAGAGGCACAGTAATGTTCCTTCCAGTCACACAGCAGTGTGTTCCAGACTGGGGTGACTTTGCAGATGCGATTCAGGTTCCAGACCTTCAAACAGGGAAATTGTCCAGGCTTCTCTGGGTGGGCCCAGTCTAACAATGTGACCACTTAAAAGCAGAGAACTGTCCGAGGCTGGAAAAACAGGAGGCATAAGGGAGAAGCCTCAAAAGGGAAAGTTAGAGAGACTGCAAGCTTGAGAGGATTCTAAACACACCCTTACTGTTCTGAGATGTAGGGGACACACATACAGGGACAGGCCGAGGCCCCAAGCAGATAAGGACATCTCCACTGACAGCCAGCACAGAACCCACCCCACAACTGCAAGGAAATACATTTTGCCAACAATCTAAATAAGCTCAGAGGCAGATTCTACCAGAGTCTCCAGAAAGGAGGGCAGCTTTGCCAACCCCTTGATTTTAGTGCCGTAACACCGATTTCAAGCTTCTAACATTAAGAGCTGTGAAGTATAAATGGGTGTTGTTTCAAGCTGTTAAATCTGTGGCAGCTGGTTATGGCAGCAATAGAGATGTACACACCCTCTTAAGCTCACCTGGGTCTCTCCCAGCCCTTCAGAAATGTACGGTGGAGAGTCTGACCAGGTAGCTCATGCCAATTTACTAATGGATGAAGGCTAGAGGGAGAGGATTTTTGTTTTTAACACCAGCACTTTGGAGATGCTTTATTCCATCTGACTCTAAGATGTCCACAAGAGCAGCAGGAATTTCAAACCTGGGAAGTGGAGAGACCAGTCTCCAGGCCTCCTCCTGGTAAGGGAATAATTTGGGGCCAAGCAAAGCCTTCAACGGCACCCTTCCACTGACACAGCCCACACGAGGGGCTGCTCACCTCTCCAGACAAGCTATTCTTTAAGACTCCCCTGCCCCTCACTTATAAAATATGATGTACGTTCATTATTTTTTAAAAAATCAGATGAATTTGAAAAATAAAAGTGCCCTTGCTCAGAGTTCAACTTTTCCAGACAGTTTTCATATATATATATATACATTTTTTTCTTTCCTTTAAATAGAATCATTCTGTAACATTATTCTGTAACTTGTTTTTCATTAATATATCTTTGAACATTTTCTTCTGTCATATGTAGAGAGTTGACCCACAATACCACATTTAGAACTCACTTCGCATTGAGTCATTTACATTTCTGTATTTTTGAGTGAGGTGTAGCATCTTTTTGTATGTGTGTTAGACATTTATAATTCTTTTCATGTTCTATTCATGTCCGTTACCAAGTTTTCTATCAAGTTTGTTTTCCTTGATTTATTCACATTATTTTTATGGCAAGGAAAGAAGTCTTTGATCTGATGTGCTACAAATATTTTTCCCCTGTGGTTATCTCCTGATTCTTCCAGTAGTATTGTTTGCTATCATAAATTTAAAATATATACATAGTTAAATAGATCAATATTTTTCTTTTAGGCTTTGGTTTGTTTCATGGTGGTAACTGCTTTCCCTACTCCAAGATTATTTTTTAAATTCACTCATATTTTGTCTCTTTCACTGCAGTATTTTATTCATCTGAAATTTTTTTTAATATAAGAAGGGAAAAGGAATTCAGATTTACAATTTTTCCCTAGTGGGTAGAAATTTTCCTAATATTTATTGAATATACCATCTTTTCCTCTCTGATATGAAATGTTATCTTTATCATATAATAAATTCACCAACTAAATGTATTATATTATTGACCTTTCTGCTTTGGTGTTATCACAAATGATTTTAGCTATGTACCTTTAAAATACTTTTTAATATTTTATTAATTTTAGACATCCTCTAGCTTTCTTAACATGTTAATTTTTTCAGATGAACATTTTTATCAACTTCCAAAAACTTTTTCTTAATATTTTTATTTTCTGCATTTTGATATACTCAGATAAGTTACTATGTTATGAAGACTTGATTTTTACTTACCCAGATAGATGCCATGATATCCCACCTTTGCCTTGAGTTGAGATCACACTAACCTATTCAAAGAAAAAAAATTACTAAACAATATAAATCTGGGATTTGGAACACAATAATCTCAGACTAACCCTTTATCTTTAATCAAGAAAATGGAAGTTAGCATTCAAAGAGAAGCTATCTCAGGAAGAGGATGTGCCTCTAACATCAAGTACCCCATTTGCTAAATAAACATTACTGAGCACCTACTATATACAAGGGATTGTTGTAGGCCTGAGAAGGGCTCAAAATAGGACAGAAAAAGAAAATCTCTGTACTTGAGGGTTTTACAAGTATGTTTCTAATATCTGACTAATTTAAAAACCAGCAGAAGCATGTTGATTGCTGACTTCTTTTAACGGAGACAGACTACCATCACCAGGAACACCGGCACAGGAAATGGTCTGCTTCCCCCACCCAACACAAAGTTTAGCCAGCTTCAGTTTGATTCCTTGTATTGGACTGTGCAATCTCCTTTTACACTTTACAAGGCTCCCAGCCTGCAGCCTGTTACAGACAGACATATCTATGAGGAAGCAGTCTAGTCTTTGGGACAGACATACTCTATGAGGAAGCAGTCTAGTCTTTGGTAGGGCCCAGAGGCAAAAAGGGTAATTCTTTGATGGAGCCCTCACTGGGAACCCAGGCACACTTCCCATACGTAGACATTATTCAAACATGCTAGCATACCTCCAGGCTTGATTTAGAAATGAAAGTTGCTCCCACCCATCCTGGGAACAAAATATTCTAAAAATTCAGTGATAGCCCCAGAGCAAAGTTCAACAGGAAATGACACTATTTGTCCCTGGAAATATTTAAGCCTGATTTTCTCAGGCTCTCCTAGCTTCTAACACTGTATCTCTTTTTTCTAGTTATAGGATTAACACTACATCCCTCTCTATATATAGTGAATACAACTGATCGTTAGTTCTGGTTTTGCCCCTTAAAGCTGGACACAGTTTCTTTGCGCCTCAGTTGCCTCGTCTGTAAAAAGGGGAGAGGAGTGCATTGCTGGCATTGAGTGAAATATGTATAATAACATCAGTTAGTGTTTTGAGTTCTTAGTATGTGCCAGGTAATACAAGATGCACTAGAAAGTCATTTCCACAAGGCCAGAGATTTTTGTCATTTGTTCAAAGGAGCATAGAAGGTACTAAAAAAAATACTGATGAATGAATGAATGAATGATTTAAAATAAGTTTCACAATAATCTAGGGAGCTAGGTATCATTAATAACAGCCTCACTATGCACATGAGGAAGCTGGCACACAGAGAGGCACAGTAATGTTCCTTCCAGTCACACAGCAGTGTGTTCCCCTACTGAATGTCGGCAGTCACGCGCCCCAGGCATTAATTTAACCCCCTGCTCTGCCTCACCCAAGCGCCTGGGCCACACATTGTCAAAGCTGACGCTCAATATGTGTTGATCCAGTATAATGAATGACAAATTATTAACAATTAATGCTGATTTCAGTTTTAAGAAGAAAAGAATTAACATCACAGCCAATGCCAGGTAACCTAACAACAGAACTTTAAACATCCTTTTCTGAAAGGGATTAGAGGATTTCTTTACTTTCTTGTCTACTCCAGTTTCTCAAAAGATTTCTCTACACAGCCTCACTGCGCTGGAAACAAGGTTCTGGCTTTCTCTGCATCTTTGAATTCCCACTTTCTCAGTGTGAAGTTTTCTGCCTTCATGAAAACCAGTGGCTCTATCTTTGCGGAATAACGCTTTAATGAGTTACATTTTTTATGATGTTGATTTTTAAAACACCTATAAATGTAGTTCTCTCCAAGGGCAGATCTTGCCGTCCCTGTAGAACACAACCGTTGGAAAGAATTTAGCTTCGGGTTAGAGGTAACTTCTTAGCAGTAGCCAGAGGGGCCTTCATGGACCTATAACCTCCTAGACCTGGTGGAAACCACAATTTCCTACCTATGGCCATTTGCAATCAAGCCCTCACCTCCTCCACCTGCTGACTCAAATACCAGAGGAATGATTCCTGTCTAGTGAACCGGACTCTGTTGCAACCAAACAAAAGTTAAGTTTTTTCACGGAAAAGCAAACTTCTCAAGCCCCCAAAGCCCAATATCTAAACATACTTTTCTTCTAACTCCTAAACAAATTCAGTGAAATAGAATAAATTGTGTACGTGAAGAGAACGTACAAGGATGGGTGGGGTTCCAGGCCCCCACAACTGAGCTGAGCCAGCCCCTCCTGAGACGCCGGGGGCCCAGAGACGGGAACGACTCCCTGCTTTTTCTGCCCCTAAGCCCTTTAGGGACGGAGTTGACCAACTGAGTCCCTACTAGCTGTAACGACAAGGTCTAGGGGGGCGCCCGGTCAGCTGGGTGTGCCCTTGCATCCCGCCCTGCCCTTAGCTGGGTGGCCGCCCCAGGACACGGCGCTTTCGCTCCCCTGGGCCGTGGTTTTTTGACTAAAAACGAGGTCGCGCCCTCTGAGGCCCGGAGGCCAGGGCCCGGGTGGAAGGCGGCGTGGGCGCCAGCAAGGGGGCCCCGGGGCGAGCAGCGCTCGCGGGGCAAGCGGGCGAGGCGCGCCCACCTCCCGACGGCCCGGCTCGCGACCACGCGCGGCGAGGCTGCACTTACCGAAGTGGGGCGACGGGGAGCGGGCGCGCGGAGAAGGGCGAGCGAGGGTGTGCGCCCGCCTGGGGCCCCGCGCGCTCCCGCCCGGTCCGCGACCGCGCCCCGCCTCCCGCCCGGCCACGCCACCTGCTCGACGCCCGCGCGGAGAAGGAAGCCCTGCCCCGCGGCCGCCCGGCCCCGGTTCGCACGCCCGCGCCGCGGCCCGCGCCTGCCCGGAGACTCTGGGCTCTCCCACCCTCGTCTCCCACCATCCTCACGCTGAAACCTGCTTCCCCGGTTTTCACTCCTCTTCACTTTATTGGGTTCTTCAGGAGTTCCGCAAAGCTAATTGTTGTAGGCATTGTGGATTCAGAAATTAGACAGCCCCCACTCCCAAGAAGGTCAGGGCCTGGACAGACGGCAGACACCTAACACCAGTAACAGTATGTAACATTTATCTGCCATTTACACTGCGCTAAATTTGTTAACTCTTCTAATTTCTTTACAGATGTGTACTAATTTAAATCTTACAATGACCCTATAAGGTAGATAGAGGTTTCCCCCGTCATCCAAAAGTACAGCATTCCTTTGAAGACTTTCTTAACCTGAAATGGCATAGAGAGAAGCACCAATTACCGCTAATTTATACAGAAAAAAAAAAAATTGTGTTCCCAGACCCATAATCAACTCTCTCAGGCCTTTCTGAGATACCTTATTGACCCTTGTTTGCTAACACATAAAATACTTTGAAACAAGCACAGACGTTCACGCAGTTCAAAGCCACGACAGCCTGAGGCTGAGTGCTGGGTGTAGTGCCCCAAGGAGTTTGGCGGGGCCATTCTCACGGCTCCGAGTGCCGAATGCCTCTGTAACAAATGCTGGATGCTATTTTTGCTTTTCACCTTTTCCCATAAAAGCGAAAATCTTCTGATTTTTTTTGGTTGGTAAAAAGCAGGCACTAAGGTAGGTTTTTCAGGACAGTGAAGCGGCCGAATGAACTTTCTAAAAACATGGGATACCCGTACTGTTAGAAACCCCATTTGGTAAGTGAGGAAATGGAGACACAGAGAGACTAGGTAACTTAAGCAAAGTCACACAGAAAGTAAATGGCAGAACTAGATTTTTGAACCCAGATAGTTCTGTAGTCCTGGTAAGCTTATCGGCTCTCTAGTGAAGGATTAGAAACAAGGCTTGGAGGTAGTAAGGTAGAAAGGCGTTCTAGGCATTTGAAACAACAAAACAACAAAACAAATGAAGGAGGCTAAACAGTAAAGCCCTACTTGTATTGAGGGAATTATAAGCAATGTGTGTTGAAGGATTTAGTAGAACATAATGAAAGCTACTGTATATTGGGTATCAGGCACTGAAATAAGTACTTGATTACACCACCTGTTTTACCTTAAAGGCAAGTCTAGGACTGCTATTTCTTTTATCAGATTATAGCAGAGGAAACTGAAGTTTAGAAAGGTTAACTGGTTTTACCCAAGGCCACTTAAGTAAGAAGTGTTGCATATGGGACTCAGCTCTGGGCCAGCCTTCCTGTATTTCACTTCTGGGCAGGGCTGAATCTTGAAGGGCATGCTTCCGGTTTGGGGGCATAATTTAGCAGTAATTGGAAATTATTGAAATTGCTCGCGGGATGCCAGCATAGCAATCTAATCCATCTTCTAAAAACATAGTTCTGCAGGTTCCAAAAGAAATGAATCAGACAAGAGGAGAAAATTTAAATCCTATAAGGAGACTATAGCATCTCTGCCATTTGGAGTTCAAAAGTGAGAGCTAATTAGAAGTGAAATTAGGGCAATTGTGGTGGTTATGGGCTATTCCAAGTCAGATTTCACAGTTCTTTTACGTTAGAGGGCTCCCCAGATGCAGCTGAAAGTGGAGAACACTGAATTGAAGGCCTGAGGGTGAAAGCAGAGGAGGGTCTCGGGCTGGAGGAAGCACGCTTTCTCAGAGAGACTCAGGGTCTGGAGGAAGCACACTTTCTCAGAGAGACTCAGGGTCGTGCTGGGGCAGGAGAGCAAATCCTAGGATTTGTTTAAGTCAAATTAGAGAACAACCAGGAGGGCTGGGAAGAGCCTGACACAGGAACAGTCAAGAAGAGAAGTATCTTAGTCGGTTCAGATGGCTGTAATGGACCACTATAAACTGGGGGGCTTATAAACAGCACACATTTATTGCTCACAGTTCTGGAGGCTGGGAAGTCCAAGGTCAGAGTGCTCCCAGATTCTGTGTCTAGTGAGGGCCCACCTCCTGGCTCATATACAGTTGTCCTCTCACTGTGTCCTCACATGGTAGAAGGGGCAAGCTCTCTGGGGTCTCTTTTGTAAGGGCACTAATTCCATTCATGAGGGCTCCTCCTTCATGAGTTAATCACTGCCCCACACAAGGCTCCACCTCCAAATACCATCACCTGTGGGGGTTAAGGTTTCAAAATATAAATGGGGGGACATAAACATTCAGACCATAGCAAGCAACTGACAATAACTACCACAGTCTTCCCTTAAAAACATGGCTATTAAAGTTTTTTACATTGCAGAAATATTTTAAAGATACCGAAAAGAGTAAGTTATAATATTGACTACCTGTGTGCTCACCACCCAGCTTTATCAAGTTCTACACATTATGCTGTATTCACTTAGAATGTTTTCAAGATATTGAAAAAATAGACTTGTACAACTGGTGTTCCTTTTATGCCCTTTCTGATCCATTTCCCACTTTTTCTCTAGAGAAAGTTGAACAAAAAGCTCAGTGTTGTTACTCTTGTGCATGTTGTTACACTTCTTTCAAAATACTGATCATAACCATAAATATTATGTAATACTATTTTGCAACTTTAAAAACTTTAAATAAATGTTATCGTAATGTATATTCTTTCATCATTCTTTTTCTGTCCAATGCTAGATACACTAGTAGGTACAGGTGTTCACTTATTTTAACTGCTGTATAGTATTCCATTTTGGGACCATATCAGGGTTTGCTTATCATTTTCCTGCTGGTGGGCATTCCATTGTTTTGGTATCTTGCTGCTATAAATAACATTAACATGTACACTATTGCATGTAGCAACTCACAGATGTGTGAGTTGATGACTTTACCATTTGAAAATAAAATAAGGAAATGAAAGGGAGAAAACATTTGAATCCTTGGCATAGAGAGTGACTGGTTACTAAAGGAAGGTGTGAATAGGCTTACAGATTAGGTTACCTCAAATATTAGTTTTTAAGTGGGGCTATGTTGAGAAAAATTTTAAGAGGACAGACAAATGTATCAGTTAGCTCCTACCACTATATGTTCCTACCACTATAAGGGCCTCAGAGAAGTCATTCATTCTTGCATCGGCAGGATGGCTGAGGTGGTGCTGCTCCATGTGTCCATTCTGGGTCCAGGCTAAAGGGGCAACAGCTGCATGGAGGAAGCTCTTCTCCTGCTGAGGTCAGGGTACAAGAAGGCACAGTCAATGCCACAGGCACAGCTTAAGCCCTTGCTTACATCATGGCTGAAGATCCTATTGGCCAAAGCAAGTATAATGATGGAGCCCAAAGGCAAAGGAGGGAGAAGAAGCTCGGCTCATTGGGAGTGGCATGGAGGGGATAGCTCTGAGCTGTCCTAACCTGTATCAGGAGTATATGGAGAGGTGGGTTGGAGAAGGGCTTGGAGCTAGCTACACGGCTGAGATTTGTCAAATCAAACAGGACATCTAGAGAAACCCCTACATCCAATATTCAGGTGAGGGGACAGGTTGAAATATTGAAGGTTTCAAGAACCTAGAAGAGTGCTAAACATGGAAATAAGAGTTTCCTAGGAAAAAAAAACTCAACCAGTAAACCATCATATGCTATTTTGGTGTTTGGAACTACAAAGTAATCAACAATTTAGCTAACTTTTTTTAAGCACCCACTATATGTCAGGCAGTGTTCTAAATGCTTTGCACACATCATCTTATTTAATTTTCACCTCAGTTAGATGAGGTAGGTCCTATTACATATTATTTTTAAGAGTTGCATAACTGTACAGTGTAAGATTCTGGGCCAAGTTCATGTAGCCAGTAAATCATGTAAAGATTCAAATGCAGGCAACCTGCCTCTAAAGCTTTTCTTAATTATTGTATGGTACTGTTTATAAATCTATACATAAATGCCAAGAGTTTGACCCCGGGGATTCCCTTGGGAGTGAGGGGGAGGAGAAAGAACTAGTCAGTATCCTAGGTGAAACCATTATTCTAAGTTCAAAAGCTCTATAGTTATTGTCACATTCTCCAACACTAGAAACTGGTCTTATTCATGACCCCTGTCAGCTCAGTACACAGACAGATAAATACAGACTAAATGGATGCATGCACTGAGTGCATCCTTCCATTTCTGGAAGTAAATTATTCAACACAAGAGACTCATCTGCAATCTGCTGGTTTATGTGTAGCAGCAGGAGAGGAGAGGTGGTTTGGGTATTCTGACTTTGCTGGTTCAAAACTCTGTACCCAATTATGGTGTGCAGAAAAGTGTCCTCCAAAGATGTCTGACATAATCCCTGGACTCTGTGAATATGTCATGTTACATGGCAAGGGGGAATTAGGTTGCAGATGGAATTAAGGCTGCTGATCAGCTGACCTTAATATATAAGAGATTATTATGGATTATCTGGGTGGGCCAAGTGTAATCACAGGGTCCTTAAATAGGGAAGAGGGAGGCAGAGAGTCTGAGCAAGGAGACGGTACAGTGAAAAGGCTTAACTGGTCATTGCTGGCTTTGAAGATGGTAGGGAGTGATGATCCAAGGAAAGCAGGTGGCCTCCAGAAACTGGGAAAGCAAGGTAGTGGATTTTCCCTTGGAGCCTCTAGGGGGATGCGGCCTGCCAACTCCTTGATTTTAGCCTAGTGAGACTCATTTTGGACTTTTGACCTCCAGAACTATAAGATATCAAATTTGTGTCATTTTAAGCCAGTAAATTTGTAGCAATCCTTACAGCAGCAATAGGAAATGACACAACATTCCTCCGGTCATGACCAGTACTGGGTGGTGTTGACAGCTGTCCTCCAAGCAGTGCAGTTAGATCATCCTATCTGAGCCACACATTAATTGAATAAATATGGTCATTGCTAAGAAAAATGTAAAAGAGAAAGTAGGTAGTTCCATTTCCTTAGTTGATAAACTTTCTTAAAATGGTCATATGTTTAAAAAAATTCTAAGAAGATGTACATCAAAAAGTCTTGCTCTTTCCTCCTCCCATCCACCCTGTCTCTTCCACTTTCTGCTGTCCCCTTCAGATGAACTCTGTTGCCTTACTGCCATTGCTGTTATCCTGAGAAAAGTTTTAGCCTAATGAATTGTCATATAGATATTTGTAAATTTTTGGTTTGGTTTACCTACAGTAATTTAAACTGTCAATGCATTTTTTCTCGCCTTTCAGCAGGAAAACATGAAAGCACCTTTAACCAAGACACACGCTCTGGGCTCAGAGGAGATCCCCAGCTTGTGAACTGCTGCTGTGAGTGCGCTGAAGAGAGCAGAGCAGTTTCTCCAAGCTGGGTCTCAGGCCTGGGAACCGTGAGAAGTGCAAATTCTCATGGACCTAGCCCAAACCTACTGGTTTAATAAGCTCACCAAAGCATTGTGATGCACCTTAGAACTTGAGAACTACTGGTTTAAGAGAACAGCCTTCCTTAAAGGGAAGAGGAGTGAACAGTAATGGTGAAAGCAGAGAGACAATGTTGAGTAAAAAGCCAGTGCACCCGGAGCCCACCAGGTTTGCTAATCAAAAGTGAGCTTCCTGCCGAAAGAGATGCTGTGACAGTGTTCCACTGTGCATTGTAATTCCTGAGTCCCATTCAGAGATTGCCACAGTGGGCTGTATTAAATCACACCTCATCCTGGAGAATTCTGGGATTAGCATGGAAACAGGAGGGGAATGTTCATTGAGAACCTATAATTTATGGCAGACTTTGAGTAATGCACTTTGTATCTATGGCCTTATTTCACGCTTTACTAACCAGCTTAAATTAGGTGTCATCACCTCTATTTTGCAAAGACAGAAACAGATTCAGAGGGATTCAGTAATTTCCACAGGTTGTGTTCTCTACAAGCAGGAAGTAATAGGGCTGGATTTACATCCAGAAGGAAATGAGTAACTGATGGTATTTATGTAGGATTTATTTTAATTGTTCCAGGTTCAGGGTTTAACTTCTTTTGTTTCAGGACAGCAACTTCAAAATAAAATGCACTCTAACCATTCTTTCAGTCTTTTTGGTTGTAACAGTTGCCCAGTTACCAATGTTAAGACAAGAATCATGCTATGTCGTGATTATAAAATTAGTATTTTCCCCCTCAAATGATGAATTTTCCCAGAAGGTAATTTTAGATGATAATAATAATGTGTTAGGATCCCAGAAATGGGGTTTGTAGTCAGCCAGAAAAAGAATCCAGAAATGATGATTTGATGAAATTTCACCATTCTGAACAGACAGAACTACTCTGTAGTTATATGGGAGACTAATTTTTCTGTATTTGATAAGAAAATAACCTTCTGTCTGCTAAATAGAACACCTTGAGGGTCAAATGTAAGATTTTAGAGCAAAGTTATTGAAGTATGTTTAAACTATATGGTAAAATGTGAGGAGAAAATGATAAAAGCAGATTTAATTAAGCAAGTAATTGTGGATATTAAATATGTTTGCTCTTATAGTGGTGTGCTAAGCCAGCTTGGCATTTGCTGATTTTAGCCAATTGCTAAATTTTCAGGAATTTTGCAAGGAAACAGTCATTAAAAACTACATTAAATAAACACAGTTGAGTAAATTATGTTAAAAACAAAGGTACTCAAACTTCCTAATTATTTTTCTGCATTACTATCACTGATGCTCCTGAGGTTATTTATGCCTATTATATCCATGTGGTAGATAACTACATAAAGGTGTGTTCCTGTGCATCTCTTCCCAAATCCACATTTAGTGAAATTATGCTGGTAGGTTGAATTCGGCCATGGTAAGTAGATTCAACATGAACACCATCAAATACTACAAATTGAGCTTCTCCTGACTCCAAAAGCTCATTGTGAAACATTGATCAGAATGCCACTAATTATAATAAGGGAAGGATTTAAAATAAGACATGATGTGAGTTCAAGTGTTTAATTATTCGTTTTATATTAGAAAACTACAGGCAAATGTTACCGAATAAAGAGTTCTGGCAGAAGAGGAACAGCATACTCAAAGGTCTGACTGAAGAGTCTAAGAAAGGGACTATTTATAGGAAGCGTGGATAGGGTTAAGCTAAAAGAATCCTCAGGGATGATAAAGCCCCTGAGAGCTGGGAACAGGATGACATCATTACTACCTCTAGGCCTGCATGGGCAAGGGAGCAACGTGTTATCAGAGTGGGAACTCAACTGTGGAAGAGGGACTGCCCAGCAGCACCTGTGGCCCAGGAGGGATGCTGGCACTGCCAGAACCAAAGCAAGGAGCAAGAGCTGTGCAGGAAAGATAGACACACAACACCTTCTCTCCCATCAGTGTCTCCATTTGGCTGGTCCGGACCAGAAGCTAAGGGGCAAGGGAGCCACAGGGAAGCAGTTCTGGAAAGTCAGTTTCCTGGAGCACAAACAGGGCAGAGAACAGGTGCGGAGACAAACAGAATAAGCAGCACAGGGACTTCTGTGAGTTACTAGTATTGAGCATTAGTTCATGTTGGGGACATTCCTTGGTGGGGATGTTAGGAGAGACATCTTGAAACTGGCGGTTTTTTTTTTTTTTAGCAATTTATGGAAATTCTCCCAGAGATTGCGATTCTAATAAACTTTTGTACTTTACTGGTATTGGAACTTGTGGCCTTAAATCAAAATGAGCCTAGGGAATAGCATTTTGCAATTTTTTTTTTTTAGAGAGAGAGTTGCAGCAAGGGTCTATTTTGTTGTATTAGTCAAATGACCAGATTTTTCATACAAGCATTAAGTCCAAGTTGTAGGAGCTTTGGACCATTTTATGCAGCACCAATTTGTGCTTGTGAGGTCTTTCTGGCAGACTTGAAATTCTGTATGAAAATATTCACATGGAACTTCCAAAGAAAATTATCCAGGTCATCGAACTACAACTATTTCATAGGGTTGTTATGAGGCCTGAATGAGGTAGGGAATATAAGAGTCATGGCTCTTGATCGCCAGATTACCTGGGCTACTAGCTACTCTCAGTATGCCATTCATTCTAAAGGGCTCCTAGGTAGAGTTCTTTCAGGCTCCTTTGGGGATAGAATTTCTGTTGCATACTGTGGCATCTTAATATCGAGACATGTAAAACTACTGATACTGAGTTGTTTTTAATCTACAAAATCAGCAATTTCATGAGGTTGAATTGAATCAAATATTCTCAATACTGTTTCCCTCTCCTGCTCCCAGTATGTTTCAAAACCCAAGACTGTGAGATGCTGCAAAATTTAAGTGAGAACTGATTTTTTTATTGTTGCTTACCCCTGAGTTTCCTAAATTTTATGTCCATGAAATTTCAGGTCTCAGGAAGCATTATCATAGCCAATACTAACAATTCATAGACTGGTTCCTGATACAGCTTCTCCATGGGCCCAAGAAGAATGCAGTCCACTGCTGTTGGGTAAGGGACAATCATAGGAAATTGCAAGGAAGTGAAGTTTATATTAAGTCCCTGGCAGCATCTCAGGAAATCCCAGGCTTGGTTGTGGTTTGCTTTCCCCAGATTTTATGAAAACAGGCTTTCTCAAGTCTTGCTGAGTTTGCAAATGTGCCATGAAAAGGTGACAGCATAGCCCTGCTGGTCACTGTCCTAGGCAGTATTTTTGTTTTGGGGGTTTTATCTGAACCAGGTCCCCACACACAGACAGGCACACAAATGCACGGGCTTGCAGAGTGCTGCGGCTGCCTGGGCTTAGTTCCATTCTGACTCTGCCATTTTTCCCTTCACAAGCCAGTAACCTCCTGTTAGGAGCTCTGGTCATCTCCAGGGCGAGTATGGACACTCAACACATCTTTGTGAGTGCATAAAGGACACAGCCATTCTCACAGTATACAAAGTATCCTAAAAAGATTTGATGATGATCTAATGTAAATAGTATTGTAAATTTTAATTTGTCCTCTTTGTCTTGGGGCTTCAAATGACTGCAAAAGAAGGGCTATGATGATCTGGGAATATGTAATATATTCTTCATCTTGCTCAGTTCATGTGTCTCAGATTCACCCTCTTCAGAGGGGTTTTTGCCAAAAAACTACTTCAAATTTTGGAATGATTTTGCCATTTTAATGGCAATGTCTTATGTTAATGAGATGGACAGTCTAAAAAGAACATAGCAAAAAAAGCCCACAACCAGACTGTCATTTATTAATACAAATTTATATAGTGGCATATGCTATTGGAGCAATCAGAAATTCATAACACACAAATTGATATTGGAAATACAAAAATCACTTGAGTCCAGAAATCAGGTCGACAGCACCACAAATGTTGTATTCAGTCTGAGCAGGTTTATAGTACCCAGGGATAATGAACACCTATAGATGAGACTGAATATCATGAGACTGTGCAAACACATTCCACGCTATTTCTGCATCTGCAGGAGTCTTTCAGGAGGCCTGGGGTACAATATAAGGGCAGTAAGGCAGAAAAAAAGGCATAGACTCTTTTCTTTAACTTTCACAGCCAGCCTGTGATAGCAAATAGCAAGTCTTCAGGGTTTTCTGTTACTTCTCACCTAAAAGCATGGTATAAAACGTTAGTAAAATGCATGTGAGGCATTAGTGAGCAAGTTAGAGAACCAAAAGGAGAGCTTTGATTGAAATATAATCTCACATCAGTAACCAAATGATCTGATCTTTAATGTAAAGTATAAAACATAAACGAAATGAAAAATCCTGTATCAAAGGAGCACAACTCAGCTTCACATCTTGACCCTTTCTGTTGAATGAGTGTGCATACACCAGAGAAAAGAGCACTCGGTGAAGTGCATGCAGTGGGGGAAGGCAGAAAGAAAGGGAAGCAGGAGTGTCCCAAGGGCTTTCCTTTTACACAGACACTTTCCTCCCTGAAGGTCCTCACAGAAGGCTGCCTGTCACTCAACCACCACGTACCTGGGGATGCTAAGAGCACTCTGAGATCTCACTCTCCATCCCTTCCCACACTAGCTTCGTTCTACCTTATGTCTGCACACTTCCCATGTATGTGTCCTATTTGGTAATAAGGGAAGGGATGGTCAAGAATATTGGAGCAAATGGAAGGGTAAGCATTCTGGCAACTAGGAGCAGTTATAAATAACAGGCCAAATCAAAAGTTGCTCCACAAATGACAGGCTTCCTGTCCTTGCAAAATAAGCATTAGCCTTCCAGGTTGTTCTGCAGAAGATTCCAGGCCTGACCGATGAGCTCTCCAGCCATGAGACACCATGTTGTTCATGAGGCCAATACAGAAGTTCTTCCCCAAGCTGGCCTCATGCAGCACCTGACCAGTCAGGAGTGTCAGGCCCTAGGCTCACCCCAATTCATTCCTCTCCTGAAAATATTGTGCTCATCTTAGAATGAAATTTAGACTTTCCTCTGAATGTCTTGCTCTGGAAACTGATTCATGGTGTCACCTCCTGCTAATACATTATTAAGATTTTTCTGTTCAGTCCTCCTTAAGACCATGCCATCTTCATTCTTTATCAGGTGGAGCTTCTTTGTTCCAAAGAGATTATTTTATAATCCAAATAGAAGAGAGAGTTTTGGATATTTTTTTCTCTACTTGCCCTTGTGAATATTGCCACCACACTCTCTCACCTCCTCTTTGTAAATTTATTCCTCTATCATTCACCCATGACACCACTCAGTTGTTTACTTCACAAATATTTCTAGAATGCTTGGTATGTGCAAGGCACTGCTGAGAACCAAAGGTACAGCTCACACAAGTCCTTCTCTCAAGCAGTCTGGAGTCTGGTGGAGTTGCCTACAACCTCTCACAGTCCGTTTCTAGCTTCTAGTGCCAAAGTGTGTCCAGTCTGGAATGTTCTCAGAGAGCTTGGGTCATTCTAATACAAATATTACACAATGCAAGTGCCCTGTTATTTGCTCAGTGGTTATGGTGTGCCATGCATCAGGAAGAGAACATGTATTTTACTCCTGAACAATGAAATTGTGCCTCCAATTCAAAACAACGTGACATGCATGCTTATGTTTTTTGCCAATAAGGCAGAAACAAAGAATCACAAAAGCAAGCTGTGTGCACACTACATACAAAATCATTAAGCTGCTATTTGAACACTAATCATTTTAAAGCCACGTGGCTATGGTCTTGTCATGTGCTGATACGGTAAAATAAGTGCCTGAGCTACCAGAAAAGAACCCCCAGAAGAGACACCCCTGACAAACTAAGAGGACTGGTGCCTTCATCTGCTGTACTCACACTTCAATCTGCTGTGAGTGCTAGCTGGTATCTACTGACTGATTTTGCTCTGACCTGGGCTTTCTCCTGATTTGTTCTCTTCAAGTGAATAACTTACTTTCCTAGAACCCTAACAGAATAAAACAGCTCCCAGCAAGCAAAGCATGGTGGGTATTTTAAGCATCCATGGCAATGTAGAATAAAAACGCCAGGTGCATCCATCTTGCTCTGTAGTATCCTTAATCAGAGAAGACACAGGGATACCCCCCGGGCCTGGCATGGCACATCACTAAGGTGCTCTGAGATGCTTGCCAGGCCCCTCTTTTCCCCATGTCTCTTTCCCCCTCTGAAATGGAGTTGAGCTTGCCAGACGTCTGACAGGGCACGCCCAGGTTGCAGAGAGGTGCTCTAGTCGAGAGCACTTTGAAACCCCCATGTGAAAAGGGCTGTGAAAATGCAGAGTTCAATTCAAAGCCACGGAGTGCAGGCTGTTGGGCGGCTGTAATGAGCAAATCTATCAGTTATGCTGATTAGCAGAACTCTAAATGGAATCTGGGCTGGGTGTAGGCAATATGAACTCTGCTGTGCAGAGGCCGAAGAAAAGCCCAGGTGTAAGAGAGCTGGAGGTGGTGGTGGGGAACCAAAGGCCTGGACCCCGCTCTCTTTCTGAGATCTGCCACAGTACATTGCCCAGCCCTCTGAACTCCTGCAGCTAACCTAATAGTCCAACCCCCATCCTAATATTAAAACACTTGCTTTCTAAGATCAGCCTAACAGAAGGAGCAATTTGTACCTACTGAGACTATTAGAGGGGTCTACCGGAAGAACTCTATGCTAGTACTCTGGGGGTCTTAGCGGTTCTTTGCTTAATGAGGTAGCTCAGTTGTGTGTTGATGCATGTGATGTGTGCCTCCCACCACTCAAAGCTATAGTCTTCCCTTTGTAATCTGTGAGGCTATAAAAATAACAGTATTTTACCCCGTTTTATAAAAATGATTTAGAAAAAAATACACATGGGTCTCCTCCATTAAACTTCTGTTCCCTCTTGTAAATTGTTGTGAACTCGGACTTCCAGATTCAATTTTTTTACTTTGGCACCTTTGAATGAGTAAGCACCCTCAGTTTCACTCAGTATGTTGACATTCCGCACGGTGCAGTAGTGTCTGTTTACATTCTTCTCCACCCTGTCCAGGTTCCTCCTGGGCATATCCACCTTGGTGTTCAGGGGGTATTCCTCCAAAATGTCCTCTGGGGGCGGTTTCCTCCTCTGGTTCTGGCATTTCCTGGTGATGAAACAAGCCACCAAAAGCACCAGAAGTAGAAGCATGACAGCAGCAAGAGCACTGCCAACAGATGCCCCAGTTTGGGACAGAGAAGCAGCTACAGCTGGCTCCTGCATCTCCAGATTCAGGGACTTCATATTCGTGCCATTCTTGACTTGGTCCCCTTCATTGTCATAGATGAGGGAATCATCAAGGGTCAGATGGCTGCTGGGGTCCACGAGGTCCCTTCGGCTGCGCCTCACAGGGGCCGTGAGAGAGCGCTGGACCCGGGGCCCTGCGATGGTGCCAGGGCCAATGATGTAGATCACTTGGAGATACCACTGGTGTCCCGCCTCCACCTGCAGGAGGAGGCAAACAGGGAGACAGACCAACATGTTACTGTTGCCCACAGCCCCTCTGGAGAAAGGAAATGAAAAGACATCTGCCACCACACCTTGTTAGATAAATGGCTTCAAGAAGAGTGTAATAAGTAATGGTTGGTGTCTACTAATAGAGAATTGAACCAAATATTATGGGTTCTATTTTATTCCCAAATTAGGGTGATCTTTGGCCAACTATACACATTCTCTTCTGTTCCCCTATCTGTGTAGAGAATAGCCCCAAGGGTCTGTCTTTCATGGTCTTTTTAGCTAAGTAAATACTTATGATTGGTTGGTCTTTATTGATAGCAATGAAGTAATAGTATTAATAACCACATTTATTTCCAGTGATCTTCAATTGTTTATGTTATTTAATGATGAAACTAAAATAGAGGCATTCAACAAATATTCAGTAAGCACCTACTCTGAGCATAATACACAGAGACTTGACAAAAATTTGCTAAATTTGAACATGTCTTAGGTCTTCTCCCAAGCAGTTATATCATCAAGTATTTTATACCCACCTCATCTGCCCCCATTGAGACCCTCTATGGTTTTGAATTAACTCTCAAAGAGTGACAATAGATCTGAAATCCAAAGTCATGGATTACTATTTGGAGACAGAAAAAGGTGGAATTTGATCTTGTAAGTTCATGTTTATTACTAGGACTTCAGAGTACTTTTGTTTATCAAATACTAGTAATTCTCACCATTCTAATTTGGTGTATTGTATTTCTGATTTTGTTAAATGTGTTTCCATGCCTGTGAAAATCAGTTGGTGGAGCACAGAGCCAAAATGCAGGCAATATAAAAGAATTTAGGAAATACTAGAATATCATGTGCACCCTGATGAAGACAATGACAAGTGTCTATATGCAAATTAAAGAATTTTATCATTGCTTTGGTCTTTTGGGCATAGATGATGAAGAACTAGAGGTAAAAATAAGCTTAACAACAATAAAGAAGACTTGCCAGCAAGAATGCTATAAATGCTGTAAAAAGAAACCGACAGTCCAGAGATAATGTCATCCTCCTTTTTCAACCTTTAAAGTGGCCATGGTCCTATGCTTCCATGCTTCTCACCATGCTCACCTTATAGAGTGCATCTACTTTCAGAGTAAATCCATCCACACCTGGCATGCTACTGACCACATGGAAATCAGGCAACTCGGAAGCAAACTGGGCCTCAAAGGGCACATCATGGAAGTACTTATCAGTTACCTCAGGCTGACTGCGGTCCTAGAATTTCAGAAAAAAAAGAAACACAAAATTTAGAAAGGTGGAAGCACTGAGCTGGCAGGGGGAAGTCAGTGGGAAGATGATGGTACTCTCCATTGTCGCCTTGGGTCGCATTGGTACACGTGCCCTCCTAAGCCCCCACTGCCCTCTTCGAGGTTCAAGGGAGGGCACGTAGTGGCCTCTGACCTCAAAACACAAAGAATGCACTAGCCTAGACAAATAATTCTCAGGCTACTTGGTCTCAGGATTCTTTACACACTTAAAAACCAAAGATCCCAAAAGTCTTTGTTTATGTGGTTTTTCTCTCTCAATATTTCCTGTACTAAAATTAACACTGAAAAATTAAAAAATATTTTACTAATTCACTTAAAATGACAATGAAAAACACATTACATATTAACATAAGTAACATATTTTTTAGAGAAAACACCTGTCTTTACCCCTGCATTGCCAAAAGAGAGTTTGTATTGTTTTACGTCTTTGCAAATCTCTGGAAAAGAACTAGATCCTTATAATTTCTTCTATATTTAGTCAGTTATGATGTGGTTTGGGCTGAAGTATTTGATGAAAAATTTGGCCTCACACACCTATGTGGCTCGAAAAGGGAGAGATGTTTTAATAGCTTTTTCAGAAAATCATGGGTATTCTTTTTGATATTGAGAAAATACTTGATAAGTAGAATTTTTAATAAATTAGTTACAATATGGACTCTGAAACCATATCAATAACCATCTTATACCCTTTACACTCCTGAGGAATGCATGTGAAAAAGGCGAGTACCATCACATTATTAGGAAAGCAGCTGTGACTTTGTGCACTCCCTGAAAGAGTACTGGGGACAGTCAGGGGTCTCTCTGGACCACACTTTGAGAATCACTGGCCTGGACGTTCCTTTTCCTGGGACACTATTAATAGCTTGTCATGTTACCCACCATCACCATCACATTTGTTAATATGTGTTATCATTAAGCTGATGAGAGGGAAAAAACAGCAACAAAAATATGTACAGAGAGAAGACCATCAAGATAGAACACTGGGGTGTTCTATCTGCTTTAGACAGGCCTTGTAGCTGAGGAAACCCACTCAGGATGCCAGGCCGTGACTCTGTCAGCTAGCATACCAGCAGCAGGAATCTGTGCTTCAGGTGCTTGTTAGGCTGAATGCATCCATACTGTGGTCCTTCGTTGTAGATGGTCCCCGTGGGATCAAAGAAAGGCACATAGCCATCCTTGCCAGTACAAAGATAGACTTTCTCCAGCTGGAGTTTGTAAGCAGAGTTAAGGTTTTGTTCTGGATTCCACAGTACTCGGCCATAAAGGATTTGACCTGGAAAGATCGAGAGGCATTCATTAGGTCAGACTTTAAGATTAGAGAGAAAGAAATGTAAATAGTAGAAATGATTTAACACACTTCCTCAGAGTCAAAAGTTACTGTTCTAGACTCCAAGAAGAGACTAGTGGTTATCAAAGGGAAGGGGCTGGGGAGGGTAGGTGGGGAGGGAGAAGGGGATTAAAGGGGATTATGATTAACACACATAATGTAGGGGGGTCATGGGGAGGGCAGTATTGCACAGAGAAGACAAGTAGTGACTCTACAGCACCTGACTACACTGACAGTGACTGCAATGGGATGTGGGTGGGGGGGACTTGATTACATGGGTGAATGTAGTAACCACACTGTTGCTCATGTGAAACCTTCAGAAGATTATATATCAATGATACCTTTAAAAAAATAGTTACTGTTCTATGAGAAGCTCTATGATTCTATTTGCCACTAAAATGCTCATTCATTTATTGCTTCTTTTATTCACTAAGTGTTTATTAAGCATTTAGGGTATGCCAAGCACTCTGTCGTGTACAGGGGATACAAAGGTAAGTGAGATGCAGCTAAGCAATTTCCAAAGATAGCTAATATTTGCCAAACTCATACTATTTGTGAGATATGTACTAAGCCCTTCCCATTTAGAACTCATGTAGTGCTCACAGTTTGACTGATGAGGAAATTGAGGCACTGTGTAGTTAAGTGACATGTTGAAGGTCACAAAGCTAGTAGGTTTTTGGCTCTAAAACCTACACTGTTAGCTCCCACAGCACTGTACTGTTGTGAACCACAGTAGAGCAAGGGACACAGTGCCAAATGAGCGTGTAGCTGAGCACAGAAATCTGCCTGGGGAGAGCTATGGAAGGGTTCATAGAGGAATGATAGTTGAGCAG